CTATTCTCAAGTAAGACAGATACCTATGAAGCGTTTTATAGATTATTTTCAGCTGCCATCTAAGTGAATAATAATAAGTTTTCAAAACTAGTAGTTAGTTTAAATGCTGAAACTCGCGCTCCATAAGTAAAACACATTATTGGAGTCCATTGGACATGAACTTTTCTGCAAGAATCAGTGTTCCATGTTTGAAAATTCGAAAAATTTTTTAATACTTGACTTTTAAACTAACTACTTAATTCTAAATGTTCGTTCTATGTTCTTACAAAGGAATGTTTTCTACTGATCAATTGCTTTCTCATCGAAAGCTAGTGAATTATGAATGATCGATCATTTCGATTTCGATTATGACCATGAGATATCTCCTTATGTCTTTTATATACTGATTTTCTAGAAAACCAGTTGTCTAAACTAACAAATCTTTCGCTAAATACTTTATTTATTTGCCCAGATTATAGAACACATTGAACTGCCGAAAAAAAAGATCACTTTTTTCTGTTTCAAATCATTTTTTTTTGGCAGAAAATACAGCCATCTTAATTCATTTTCCATATGAAAAAAAACTTTGAATACACATCTGTCACTAACTAATAAAATCAGCCCATTTGATTCAACCGCTTCGGAGATATTTCATTCTTTTTTTTATCGTTTTGTTATTTATGGTTCACTCTGTATCTATTAATTGTCTTTAGTTGTCTTCTCTTTTCTAAATAGGATGTTGTTGATTATATATCAAAATTTTTTGTTCATTTTAAAGATCCTATTATGGAAACAACAGCAGTAGAATTTGAACGACTTTTAAGCATGTTTCGAAATAGTATATCGAAAATATTTATTTACTACGTTAAATAATAACTATTTGAATATTTAGCAAAACAAAATATAGATAATTCTTTACAAGCATGTGTTGATCGATATTGGACTGAAATTATATTAAATTCATTTATATTTGATCGAAATAATCAAGAAGTATATTTAATAATAATAATAATTCTTAAATTTTTATTTAATAAATTTAGCGTCATGCTCTTGATAGTTTAACTGTAATTGATATGCAAGAATGGTATAATGAACATATATTTGCATCTACTCGTCGTCAATTAATTATTATTGTATGTCCTAATGATGAAATTAAACGAACATCATCAGGTATTATTTCAAATAATAGAGTATCTTATGTTTCATATGACAATCAACGGAATCAATATAGTATTCGATCAAATACTGCTATATCAATAGAACGTCTTCCACGACTTGTACGTCGTCAAGATTTATTGGAAGATGATGATGATGATGGACGTATATCTTTATTACAATCAAAATCTGAATCAAAATTACGTTGTTTAACAACAAAACGTAAACATTATATTGATTTACGTCCAACAAAAAGTGAAACATTTCATTTAAATAAGCCATTTGAATATCCAAATGATATAATTAAACTTGATTATATTATTAAATCATTTGAATCAATTGAAATTGATGATGATCATAATACAAATCAATATGAAAAATCATTAAAAATATTATCGGAATCTGATTCTAATGAATCACAAAAATCTTAT